CAAAAAATTGTAAGTAAAACAAATTTTATATTTTTACTTATGATTTTATTTATTGGCTTGCTTAAATTAAAATGATTTTAAATATCAAAACATGTATCAAAAACATGTTCAACTGATATAGTCCAAATAATTCAAGCTAGTCAGGTAGGACTGACTAGGTGCTACAAGTTAACATATTCTTGGCTAAAATTTTTTAGGGTTTCCAAATCCTAAACTAGGTGTATTATTTACTTACCTTATAGCAGTATATACATGAACATATACTTATCATCTTGGATATGTTTGATTGGTCTAATATTCGTGCCTTGGAGAAGTCTCTACATAAGTAGAGAAAATTATTAAGGGACGTTCGATTGCTTTGAGAAAATTTGTCTTCGCCGGGTGAACGTGCAGTAGCAAGTTTTTAAATCTTCTGACCATTTACTGTGAGTTCTGGCTGATGTTACATTGAAGTACCTCAAAGTAAAAATCATGTTCTTCAACAATAATTGAAGATAACACACCTGAGCGTGAATGATATAATTATATTCAAAGATCACGCTACTTGTCATGAGTTAAGAATGGTTAGTCTTAATCCAATGAGTGGTTGCGACCGAATACAATAGTGCAGTTGTGATAAAGTCAAGACCATATGTGAACCTGTAATAAATCCTCCAGTGATTAAATGAGTCAGAAAACAAAATTTAATGGCCAACTTGAAATTTTGCTCAAACATCCGAGTAAATTATCTCAATCGAAACATGTACACAATTTGAAATTTGAAAACTGAAAAAAATATTTTGTAATTATTTCCTATTCCCCAAAATAGGCAGATCTTTGCCAACTCATGCATCTGACATTGGAAAAAAAAAAAAAAAATACTACTCAATTTTACGTACATTTAAATGATTTTCGTCATGTGCCAATCTAGATCGAATTACTATGTAAATATGTTTACTTAAGACAGGCAATCCATGCAAGAGTTAAGATATTCTCTGTCACATGGTTTAATGTAAGGCCCAAGCATTTATTAATTACTCTTTTGTTGTATGAAAATTTCAATTTTTTAGATCATTGGAAACAAATATTTTACATTATCATTGTGGGACTCTATCATTAATTATTTCCATATATAGTAATGTGGACTTCTGAAAGAATTTTGAATTTAGAAATTGTTAATCTCTGGAAAAAAATAAGAGGAAATGTTTGCGCTATGTAGACATGCCCCTCTATTTCATATTTTACATATTTTATGTGAAATCAAGATTGAGAGATCTAAGAATCTTTGGTGAGAAATCAAGTTCATATGGTTTCTCAACGATGCGGTTGGGTGCAGGCAAAGGTACTATTATAGGCCATCTACCTCGCACATCCACCTTATCTGCCACGTGTGGACGAACTGATCCGGTGTTGCCACGTGTTGACAAACTGAATTCGTGTAGGACGAATTGATTCCATTACTCCGAACCGAAACACTATTGCCCTTTGGTAGGAGAGTCGAACTCTAAACTTTCAACATTTTTCAGGTAAAAAATTATACAAATCAAACACAATTAATTACAATTTCCAGTAAAACAATTTTTAGGTAATTCAATTCTCTGTAAAACATTTTCTTTTCACCAATTTTCCACATTTACAATCAAACAGACCCTAATTGTTTTTGGTTATTACCCTTTCATTCATAAGTCCACAATCATAAATTTGGTTGTTTTTGAACTTCTTCTTTAACGAAAAGTCCATGGAATATTTGTCATTCTTAGAGCGGAAAACTAATGTGGAATCGTTGCAATAAGTACTTGTTTGGGATAACTTAAAAAGTTATTAAAAATTTGAGATCAAAGTCAATAATAATTTTAACCACATATTTAATAGAACCTACAACTTGATTTTCTGTATGTGTAGTGCATTTGATTTTGAATAAGTAAACATGTAAAATTATTTTATTAGAGAATATGTAATTATAAATGAATTCTGAAAAAAATGAGTTTTTTAAAAAAGTAGGACTCAAACAAGGGCTACACTAGGTAACAAATCTCCTCTATGCACTTCATTTTCTTCTCTCATCTCGACTATTTATTGTGACGGTATAGATGCAACTTATTTATCTTTGCTCCAACCATGTCTTTCACGCTAGGATGAAACGTGTAATGATTGATTTTTTCTTTCTTCATGATCAAGCTGCCAAGAAGAAATTGCGAGTATCTCGTGTTCGAACTTCCAATCAACTAGTCGATTATCAAGCGAAACCACTTCTAAGAAAACAATTTGAGGTTCATCGTACAAGATACACTTACGAAAATATTTACACTGATGTTTTACTTTGTGACCAAATAAGATATTATAAACTGCTTCTTTTCTAAATCCCTACGCTACCAGCCTACCACGAAATTATATGTATTAAAGAAAGAAAAATATTTCCACATTTAAATTAGCCAACCGGTTATCACAAAATAGGAAACAATTCCCTGGAAAATGACATTTTTGTCCTTTCATTGTGAGAGGCACCCCATGTGTTGATGAAAGATGGTGGTGTGGTCACACATTGCTACTCGTTGACGAATATTTTTGGGGGTAAATTTCGATAGGATCGTTCGTTAATCGTAAAATATAATTTTATTTCATCTACACAAACAATTTATGTAGAAGTGAGTTCACTTCCATATTGTCCCGTTACTCTAGATAAATAAAATTATTAAATGACAGATCATCCTAAACTGGTCAATAAAAATATTAATGTTTGGGGATTCATTTTAAAATGTCAATCTTATCTATCTCTTATAAATTGGTCCATATTTTTATCTTTATTTAATGTGAGATTTTACTTTTAACATGCTTTTACAAGATGGTGGCTCATTTGAGTCAATCAATCTTCAAATCCACGTGTTTATTTTTTGAATTTTAATCGGATTAAATTGCTCGTTGGAGGTTGATGAACTCTGATACCATATTAAAATTTAGATATTCATCTTAAAAGATCGATCTTAGTAGTCCAAACACTTATAGGTTGGTCTATATTTCTTTATCTTTATTCGATATGAAATTTTATCTCTTAACATGTCCCGCAAGATGAAATTTCGTTTGAGTAGATTAATTTTGAAATTCACATTGAATAAAGATGAAATTATAAACTAACTTACAAGGGATTATGCTACTTATCCTAAGGCATGTCTGGCATAACATTTGTTTCCTATAGAACAATTTTTTTAAAAAAAAGTTACCTTAATTTTTGTTTGAAAACTAATTTGAAGTATTTCTTATTCTGAAAATATTTTTAGAGTAAGTTACATTGAATCAAATTATTCTAAAAGATCTGTTAATTATCAGAAACACTTTCACAAAATTAATCAAACGGGTTGAAAAACAGTTTTTGGATTTCAATAGCTCATATTGGCTTTTCAAAAATCATATCAAATTGACCCTTAATAAGATTGACTTTTTAAGATGAACATTTAAGTCTTATCCCCTCCGTC